CTCTCTGTCCCAAAAATAAATAAACGTTGAAAAAAAATTAAAAAAAATTTTTTTTTAACGTTTATTTTATTTTTGACAGAGAGAGAGAGAGAGAGACAGAGCATGAGCGAGGGAGGAGCAGAGGGGGAGACACAGAATCCAAAGCAGGCTCCAGGCTCTGAGCCGTCAGCACAGAGTCCGATGCGGGGCTCGAACTCACGGACTGAGAGATCATGACCTGAGCTGAAGTCGCACGCTCAACCGATGGAGCCACCCAGGCGCCCCTTCTTCTTCTTCCTTTTTTTTTTTTTTTTAATATTTATTTATTTTTGGGAGCGTGCCAGCGGGGGAGGGGCAGAGAGAGGGGGACAGAGGATCTGAAGCGGGCTCTGCGCTGACTGGCTGACAGCAGCGAGCCCGATGAGGGGCTCGAACTCATGAACAGCAAGATCATGACCTGAGCCGAAGTCAGAGGCTCAACCTACCGAGAGCCACCCAGGCGCCCCTGTCCTTCTCTCTTCTTGCTGAAGCATTTTATTATGGGACAATTTTTCATGGTCTTCCCAAAGCTTTTAAAAATCCCTTTTAAACTCACTTCTGCCTTTAAAAAAGCAATGCCCCCCCTCCTAATGATCCTTTCCCCTCCAGAAGCTCATGGTGATTGCAGGGCCTATACCAAAGACTCAAGGAGACCCGGGCCCCTGGTGAACACAGGCCTGTGGCAGACCCAGGCCCACAGGGGTCACAGAACTTAGAGCAGACACAGGCCTTCGGCAGTCACTGGGCCCAGGGTCCAGACAACCACCAACTCCAGGGGCAAAACACAGGGCCACGATCCTAGTTCGGTGGCTTCAGTGAGGCCAGGGGAGCTAATTCATGGCCTCCACTTAAGCACTTCCCAAGGATTAATGACTACAGGAAAAGCTGACGGCCTGAGGCAAAGCAGAAAGCGGGTCCCCTCAGCTCAGCATTAATTCCATCGTTATCATTATCGGGCCAGACACATCTTCCAGGTTGTTTTCTGTTTTTCTACAAAATGGAGGGCGGCAAAGAGGCAAGTTTTTCAGCTCTGGGGCATTATTCTTCCACAGCAGAGCTCTCCCGCTGGGGGCGAGGGGCGGGCGCTAAAAACCATGAGGGCGCTAATCAACACAGACTTTTCCTGAGCCGAAGGCTTCTCCAGCAACCCTGCGAAGACCTTCCCTTCTCCCCACAAACCCCAGCCTTGTCCCTGAACGACTTGAAGTCTCCTCCAGGTAAACAGGCTCTGCCGGAGGTTATAGTAGGTTTCCTTTTTGGGGTTTGTTTTCTTTTCTTTTGTTTTGGTTTTGTCGCAGCAGCTGGGGTAAAGAAAGGAGGGACTTCTGGCGGCTTCTTCATGTTACGGGGTGAGGGGCTAGCGTTCGGGCGCAGGAAGGCAACCTTCCTCCCCTCCATAGGATTCTTGGCCTGCTTTCCCGGCTAGTTTTGCTAGCCTGGTCTCGGGGAACACACCGTGCCAAGGAAAACAAAAACCAAGGACCCAGGAGAAAAGCCGCTGTGTACAGAGCACAAGCCTCTAAATAGCTCGCCAGCTCCCGTCTAAACCTCAGAAATGTGACTTTGGGGTAGGACGAGGGCTGTTGCGGAACAGAATCGGGACAAATCCGGAACAGGGCAGGGATCCTGTAATTGCACTGAATCGTAGGTCTATTGAAAACGTGGCCTTCATGGGAGACTCTCAAAGCCCCCTGTGGTGGCAAGGCTGAATTTTCCCGAGGGGGTCGCCCGAGTCCCCCCCCCCCCAACAGGGTGCAGGGGCCGAGCGGCCAGAACAGAAGGCCCTGTCCTGAGGAGGCCTGGACGGCTGGGTGGCAGACAGGCCCGTGTGTCTCAGCCCCGTCCTTGGCCAAGGCCGGAAGATCCTGATTAACATGAAAACGAAAGACAATTGGGCGTCCTCGGCGGGCGGCGGCCGGCTTCTGTGCGGCTGAGGGGGGAAGGTAATCATTCTATCACTGTCTTTCGTGGCCAATTAGATGATTCAGCATATTCCCGGCCTCTCTCTCCGCTGAGGTGATTTATAGTGAGCCAGCGCCAGATGGGGTTGTGTGCGAGACATGAAAACATTGGCGGGGCCTCTCACAGCCACCCCGGCTGCTGACAGCTTCTATTGGAGAAATTCTCCTCTCAGGCGAAAATAGCTACTTGCGGGGATCTCCTCACGGGTGGGATGAGAAGGGGGGGGCAGGAGGGTAGAGGTTAGCCCACTCGGCTGTTGTGGGAGAAGAGCTTCGGGAAAACAGCTCAGAAGGCGGTGGCTCGGAAGGAGGCAAGAGGGGCAGGGATGCTTTGCCTGTGATGCCTGAGCTCCCGTGTCTGGGGCCTGCAGCGGCAAGTGGGCCTGATGCCTGGGGCGCAGGGGTGAGCGGCCATGATGGGAACGTGTGCGTGCACTTGGGATGGGCCCGAGACGGGCCTCGGCATCCGCATTCTCGTAGGTGTTTTGACGGGCTGCTCTGGGTAATTGCTTTGATGGGTGGCTCTGTCCATCCTGGGCAGTGGGTAGATCGCATAGCTACTGAGCCGGGAGGGTGAAGGAAGCTGTGCTGTGTCCTCAGGGGTAAGGAAGCCCCAACATAATCTTCCCGAAGGAGTCAACGGTGGGCCCGACGGCTCTGTGTTGTTCGGACGCTAGGAGTTGTTTCCATCCATCTGTCTTTCCAAGAAAGAGAGCCTCCAGCTTCTGTAATGAACTCTGGATGTCACCCATTGAACACTGACCATTCCCGGCCACTCCCTAAGTCACTTATTGGAAGGCTGAGAGGCCTGGCCTGACATCGAGTACCACCCTCATCACCGCCGTCATCAGTGCTGATCCACGTCATTTTCCCTCACGCTTGTGAAATACCTATCATATGCCAGCAATTATTCCAGATGCCTTACATGCCTCATTTATTTCCCAAGACGATCCTTTGGCTATTAGCATTCTGTGATGGTTAATTGAATGTGGCAACCTGACTGGGCCGTGGGGTGCCCAGACATTATTCTGTGTGTGTCTGGGAGGATGTTTCTGGATGAGACTAACAATTGAATTGGTAGACTGAGTAAGCAAATTGCCCGCCCCGGTGTGGGTGGGCCTCATCCAATCAGGTGAAGATATGAATAAAACCAAAAGTCTGAGTTCGAAGAAACTTTGGCCTGCCTGCTTGTCGAACTGGGACATTGGTTTCCTGCCCTCAGAGTGAAACTTACAGCATCAGCTCTCCTGGCTCCTGGCTCCCCAGCTTGCTGACTGCAGATCTTGGAACTTCTCAGCCTCCATAATCATGTGAGCCAATTCCTTTTTTTTTTTTTAAGTTTATTTATTTATTTTGAGAGAGAGAGAGAGCACGAGTGGGGTAGGGGCAGGGAGAGGGGGAGAGAGAATTCCCAGCAGGCTCTGCACTGTGTCAGTGCAGTCTGACTTGGGACTCTACGTCATGAATCATGAGATTATGACCTGAGCTGAAATCAGGAGGCTGATGCTTAACTGACTGAGCCACCCAGGCACCTCCCAATTCCTTATAATAATATTTCTCTCTCTCTCTCTCTCCATATATATATATATATATATACACACATATACATATATACACTTCTTTAAAATTTTTTTTTAATATTTATTTATTTTTGAAAGAGAAAGAAAGGGGGGGAGGGGCAGAGAGAGAGGGAGACACAGAATCCGAAGCAGGCTCCAGGCTCTGAGCTGTCAGTGCAGAGACTGATGCAGAGCTCGAACCCACAAACTGTGAGATCATGACCTGAGTCGAGCTTAACCAGCTGAGCCACCCAGACGGTTCTATGTATACATACTTCTTCATCAGCATAGTCATAGATGTTTTGATGGGCTGCTTTAGGTAATTGCTCTAATGTGTGTCAGTGTTTTATATATATATATATATATATATATATATATATATATATGTATCTCCACATCCACATACATGTATCAATATATGTACTAATAGGAATTATACACTCACCAGTATGTATTACACACACACCAATAGGTTATCTGTATCATATAAGACATATCCTGTTTCTCTGGAGAACTCTAATACATATCCCCATTTCACGGATAGGGAAACTGAGGCACGGAGAAGCGAATTCATTGCACAAGGTCTTAATTAGGAAGTTGGGGTTTGCACCCAGGCAGTGTGACTCCAACGCCCTCCTGCCTCAACAACTAGTTCTGCCCTTTGACTCCTTAGCTTCTGCATATTCAAAGACTTCCTCAGCTGATTCAGTGTGGGAGAATGCGCCGAGAAGGCGTAGGTCCCGGGCCATGCCACTAACTCGTGCTTCCCATCCAAACCATCCAGGCCCCATCGTGGAAGGATTACTGAGAATTCTCCAGGGCTGCCTTGCCGCGTGCTGGGCTCTCAAACCTCAGTGACCTGAGACCGCTGGTGATGTCGTGGAAGCTGGAAGGTGAGCAAACTGGCTTCTAGGTCCACCTGGCTGTTGGCAGGCCGTGTGGCCATCCCTCTGCACTTGGGTTTTGTCAGCCGTTGAGAGGGAGGTATAGCCTCGAGCATGTCTGTTGCCCGGGGGGGTCCTGTGATTCCGCAGGGCTTTCCGGATGGCTCACGAAACAGCCCGAAGTAACCACCTCGGCCATTTCACAGCCCGAGTGGAGTGGAGGGTGGCAGTTCAGGTTTGTAGCCGAAGTCTGCCCTTTCCTGAGACTTTGGGCAGGTTCCTTAACCTCTCCTGGCCTGTTTCTGTAAAATGGGGCTGACGACACCAACTCCCGGGATTGCCGAGATTGTTAGAGGTAATGCCAGCACTGTGTTAATATAGTGGCCACGTGAGCTGTGGTATTCCCTTCCCCTCCTGACTCAGTTTACGTCACCGTGGCTCACTGTCCCAGGCTGAGGACTAAAAGTGTCACCCATTTCCCTCCCCTTCCCTTTCAGGAGTCTGAGAAAGCCTCTCAAGAACCCTATGGGATCCAGCTGCCTCTCTTGCAGGGTCATGCTTATTTTCTCTCACCGGTTTTCCCCCTTCTTTCTTGTTTCCTGGCTCTTTTCCCCGATGCCTTTCTTTTTTCCAACAAGCAGTTGCTAAGGAGCTCTCTATATGTGCATTTGTGTTGTTTCTTTCAAGGTCACGTTTCCACCAGCTTTCGGAACGTGAGGCAAGCAGCCTTCCTTCTTCTCAGCCTGGCATCACGTGACCGCTCAAAGTGGGGAGGAGGGCGGAGGCTGCCTGTGCAGGGCCGTGTGTGTATGTAGAGAGACACCTATATACGCATATGTGTGCGTAGGGCAGAAACCCACAAATGGAGGTGTGTATATATACACGTGGATGCCCACGTGTGTACACGTGTGCACTCCGGGATGCCCACAGATGTGCACATGCGTGCACGTGAGGACACCCGTGTATACACCAAAACACGATTCTCTAACAGATGCACAAATGGGTCTCGTAAGACTTTCTTCTTCCCCTTCCCCCAAAGTGTAAAATTGCCAGTGACTATCAAGTCGTGTCTACCGGGTTTGAAGGAAGTAGGATGTGTCTGGGTAACAGGAAAGAATCCATGCCAGATGGTGCTCTTTTCATCTTGAAGGCCAACATGTTGAGATGTGCCTTCACCCAGAGGGGAGAGAAAATTCTTAAATCAATCAAACAAACTAAGCAAGGTGGGGAAGAGACATACCACGTTCATGGATCAGAAGACTCCACATGGCGAGGATGCCAGTCTCCTCCCAAATCGATCGATATGGTTAACACAATTCTAAACTGTGGAAAAGCAAAGGAACTAGGATAGCCAGAACAGTTTTGAAAAAGAAGAAAATTGGAAGAATTACACTACTTGATTTTAAGACTTCCTACAGTATGACAGTGTGATATTGGTGGAGGGATAGGCCTATAAATCGATGGAATAGAATACAGAGTCCACACATAGACCCATCAAAATGTGGCCAATCGTTTTTTTTTTTTTAATTTTCTTTTTTTTGAACGTTTATTTATTTTTGGGACAGAGAGAGACAGAGCATGAACGGGGGAGGGGCAGAGAGAGAGGGAGACACAGAATCGGAAGCAGGCTCCAGGCTCCGAACCATCAGCCCAGAGCCCGACGCGGGGCTCGAACTCACGGACCGCGAGATCGTGACCCGAGCCGAAGTCGGACGCTTAACCGACTGAGCCACCCAGGCGCCCCCAATCGTTGGGTTTTTTTTTTTTTTTTTTTTTTTTTGATGAAGGTACAGGGCAATTCAAATGGTGTTGGAGTAATTGGACGTCTGAAGCAAAAAAAAAACCCATAAATCTCAACCTAAACCTCACACCTTATACAAAAACTAACTCAGAATGGACCACACGTCTAAGTGCACAGTGTAAAACATAGAAATTCTTTATGCCCTCGGGTTCAGCAGAGTTCTTAGACGTGAGACCAAAAGTATAACCTATGAAAGAAAAAGCGTTGAATTGCACTTGACCCAAATGGAAAACTTTTGTTCTGTGAAAGCAGCAACCTACAGACTGGAGAAAATGTTTGCAAATCGTGTATCCAACCAAAGACTTGTCTATAAAATGTGTAAAGAGTTCTCAAAACCCAACAGTGAGAAAACTAACAGCCCAATGAAAGATGGTCAAAAGACGTGGGCACGCCACCAGAGAGGATAATAGATGGCACATAAACCAAAAGCGATGTTCAACATCATTAGCCATGAGGGAAACAACACTCAGCTCCTCTGAGAAACGGTTCAGCAGTTTCTTACAAAGATGAATGTACAATTGCCATGTGACCCAGCGATCCCATGCCTGTTATTAAATGAAAACGTAGGTTCATGCAAAAATCTGTCTAAGAAAGTTTATAACAGTATTATTTACAATTACCCCGAACTGGGCGCCTGGGTGGCTCAATTGGTTAAGCGTCCGACTTCGGCTCAGGTCATGATCTCGCAGTTAGTGATTTCGAGCCCCGCGTCGGGCTCTGTGCTGACGGCTCAGAGCCTGGAGCCCGCTGCGGATTCTGTGTCTCCTTCTCTCTCTCTGTCCTTCCCCCGATGCTGCTCTGTCTCTCTGCCTCAAAAATAAATAAAACATTTTAAAAAATTACGATCACCCCAAACTTGGACACATCCATCAATGAGTGAATGAAGTTAGACAAAGGGTGGTGTACCCATCCAGGGAAAACCATTCAGCCATAAAAAGAAATAAACCATTAACATACTCAATTTGGATGACTCTCAAAAGCATGATGTTGAATGGAAGAAGCCAGTCTTGAACAACTTACGTGCTGCATGATTCCATTTGTATGAGGTTCTAGAAAAGATGACACTACAGTGATGGGGAATGGAGCAGTGGTTGCCAGACATTGGGGGCGAGGGGGGCAGGTAGAGCTTGACTACAAATGAGGAGCCCAAAGCAGGTGTTTGGGGTGACGGAGATGTTCTGTGTCCTGATTGTGGTAGTGGTTACAAGACTCTATGCATGTGATGGGGCACCTGGGTGGCTCTGCTGAACATTCGACTTCGTCTCGGGTCATGATCCCACGGTCGGTGGGTTCGAGCCCCGTGTCGGGCTCTGTGCTGACAGCTCAGAGCCTGGAGCCTGCTTCGGATTCTGTGTCTCCCTCTTTCTCTGCCCCTCCCTCCCCCCTTCTCAAAAATAAATAAACATTAAAAAAAAAGAACTGTATATACACACACACACACACACACACACACACACACATACACACACACGTTTGGGGGAGGGATGTCCCTTAATGAATTAAACACCCACTACCATTTATCTGTTTGAAGGAGTCGTGATTTCTTTCCTCTTTTCAGAAGGGAGACTGGATACATTCACTGGTGTTAGACAGACATATTCATCACCTATAGAAGTTGGAGGTTAAATATTTTGTACACAACTTCCCTGCCTCCACCACCCCCTCCCCGACACCTGGACGCCATAATTCCTTTCCGTCACACTATACCCAACCTTTACTTTACTATCACAATGTGCCCGTACGTGTGGGGACCACATTTTTTCATCCAATGTGGGCCACGTGGTCTCTGTTAGAACCAGTGTGCTTATGGACACAACGAGACAAAATGTTTGAAATTGAGACTGACCACGGGACACTCAAGGCCCATGGTGGTCCGGCCCTGACAGTGTCTCTGGCTTGCCAGTGACCCTATAAAAATGCCGCGTTTGTCTCATTTGGAACCCTTTTTCTCGAACCCCGCCTCCCTCTCAGAAAAGGGGATAGCCATGGTGGAAACGTGACTCCTGATAAACAGATAAGCAGATTAGGACTGGCAGAAATTAGGCCCCTCGAAGCAATCAGACTGAAGATAAAACAGAAATTTAATGAAAATTGAAAATACAATCCATATTACGTAGCCATTAAAAATGATGTTTACCAGGAGTTTGCAATAACATGAAAAATGCTTGTATCACCACGTTGAGCAAGAAAAGAGCAAATTACCAAATTGTGTGTACAGTTGATCACAATTATATTTTAAAAGATGTAGATTAAAAAACACGGAAGCTAAATATACCATAAGGCTGGCAATGACCGACTTTCAGTGGGAAGAGGAGTCTCCCCCACCATTCGGTACTTTAATCCATATATTCCAAATATTTTCTAGATTGACTACATTCAAGTAATTTAAATTAATCTTCAAAGTTAGGAAATAGAATGTTGGGGTTTTATTTTAAAAACACAATTTGGAGCACTGGCGCCATATGCGTAAGTGATCAAATATTTATTCAGCACCTAGCCTGTCCTGAATCCTTTGCACAATAAAACCGGCACGGCCAACCGCCCTCCCCCCGCCCCCTCCCACGGCAAAGTCTCTCCAGCACACACAATGTCATCATCTGAGCACTGCATTTGTGACTAAGTGCCTCCTCGAATAACCAAGGCAGGCCCAAGGGTCTGGCACGGACATCATTGACAAGTCAGCTTCCTTTTGACAATTTCACCAGGACAGACACCTTACAATAAATCCATGCCTGGACCTAAAACGTCCCCAGTTAAAACCCAGGTGCCTCCTGTGAATCACAGGCTCCCAGCGACTCTGGCTCAGCCTCCCTCTAGTCCAGCCCAGCCCCCAGAGCTCATCAAACACGTCCCCTTTTGTATCTGGTGGCCCGCTCTCACCGCCAGCTTCCCCTGATTGACAGCCTTTGCAGAGTTACCGAAGGGCCCCTCAGCCTGCCTTCCCTGACGTGGGCATTCTTCCCCCTCGGGCTAAGACCTCTCCCAGCGCCCCCCCTCCCCATGCCCCCAAGTGATCTTCAGGCCAATCACAATGCCTGGCCGCCCTCATTAGTCCGGGGGCCTTCTGGGCCCCTCCTCAGTGCAAGGCACCATTCACACTGATCCCCGCCCTCCAAATTCAGTGTTAGGCCACCTGACCCCTGTCGGCAACAATTTCTGTGACACGACTCAGTGTGGGAAAGGCCAGTGACACTTTCTAGACAGATCAGGCCCCACAGGGCCTTCTTTTACCCTGCCCATCTCCTGCAGCTGCACCTTTCTGGGCCAGGATGGAAGGTGGGGGTAGCCTCTTGGCCTGGAGTACACACCCTCCTGGGGTCTGGTCTTCAGTTTGAGATCCCCGGAGAAGATTCCAGAAAGGGCTCTACCATCCCTTGTTAACCACAGAAGCGGTGCAGGCCAAAACAGGAGAAGCAGACACAGGGTTCAATCTGCCATAGTGCAGGGAGGTTAAGCTGAGCCCCAAAAGAGAAGGAATGGGTAACCCCAACCTCCAGAAACCCCCAGCCTAATTGGGCAGACAATTGCAATACATTACGGTGAGTGCTACAATAGGGGCGGGCATAGCCCAGTATGGAGTCCACAAAAGGGACTTGTCTCCCTCCAGCCTCTGGGTGTGTCAGTGTGAGCACACACGAGTGTGTGCAGTGGGAGGAGGTCAGGAAAGCATCCCACCCACCCCCGAAGAGAAGCTGGTAACTGAATTAGTCTCGGCCAATGGGTAGCAAGCAGTTGGCCAGGCAGAGGCGTAGGGAGGGGCATTCCAGGTGGAGGGAACAGAAGGTGCGAAGCCACAGCCCAGCTCCAGTGTTCTCGTTCCGTTTTGTCACAGGGGGACCTCAGGGGAGTTCACCTAGGGACTTGGTGTAAGCCCCACTTTTGTTTTCTACCTGAGGTCATTGGTGCTGGGCATGCTATCTATGTATGGGACGCCTCCCATGTGGCTTGGGTTCTCCCAGCGTTGTGGCTGGGTTCTGAGAGTAAAATGTCCCTGGAGGTGACATCCAGACAGCGAGGGTCTCAAGAGGGAGACTTAGGTGGAAGCTTCATGGCCTTGGCTCGCCTAGCCTGGGAAGTCATTCACTGTCACTTCCACTGCATTCTGTTGGTTAGAAGTGAGTTACGAGGCCATTTCAGATTCAAGGGGCAAAGGCATAGATGCTACCTCTCCCTGGGAGAAGTGCCCCAAAATGTGCAGATTTGGTTAAAACTGCTCTGGATGGTGTCAATGAGCTAGTCCTGCCCTCTGTGACACACTGGAGCCTTTTGGACGGCAGCATTAAAAAAGAAACCCAAGGGTTCCTAACAGCACCACTGATGAGTTCATTAGGGGAAAAGCCCAGATCTAAGAGTCACGCGTTATTTGAATGACAGCTTGAACCAGGACAGCCACCAGCAGCAAATTCATTCCAGAGGAAGCTTAATGCATACATCAGCTCAAATAAACGTCTGTTCCATCTGTTGATGGGAACAGCAAATGCAGACGGTGGTATACACAGCAAAGGAAGGAACGGTT